GTCTAGCCCCACACAATGGTATCAAAAAAAGTAGGATGTTACAGATCTGTTATTTTGGGAACATAGCCAACTTTTGACAGTGGAAACACCAAAAAATCCTCGCCATACCGTACCGAACTGAACAGCATGGTGGAAACAGGGCTTATTTGTTACAATAACCTAAACAAATTCATTGGAGAGAGAATTTGCAGAAAAATCATCATCATTCATCACAGCTCACTGTATGCTTTAGACCCTTTAAAAAAACATAGTTGCATTTTATTTATAACATAACTAAGAATCTGTTGACTTGCCAGTATATGACAAAACATGTTAGGTGTCAGGCCCACAACAACATCACTTTTCTCTACAGAAGCACAGGTTGAGTTATTTGAAAGTAAAACAAAGCCAAGGTTAAATATTTCTACAAACAGTCCTTTTTTTGTGCTCATACAGGGGTTTAAGTACCCGCTGTTAAAGCCACAAAGACCTTGCCAGAGCTTATCTGCTGTTCTCTTGTTCTTTTCCTCTGTCTCCATAAATAAAAAATAGAACTAAATGTGACTTGACCGCCTGCCCTTGTTTTAACAAAAATACATAGGGCCCTTACCAGTAATGAAAAAAAAAGTAAATCAAAGTGAAGTTGAGCTGCATCAGGGATGGAGAAAAAGTCAGACGTGATGGAAACGTCTAGCAATTAATGAATCTCACCAGTCAGTATCATGGCATACCTGACGTTTCCAAAAGCTGTTACAGAGACGCATAGCTGGTGAGAGGCTGCCATCTGCATTGACAATCTCCTTGAAATGACAGGTTCTGTTTCTGTGGGGGGAAAAGATCAGCATGTGTTCCCTTAACGTTAGTTTTAGATTTCTGACACAGACACTTGATTATATTACACTTAATTAAAGTCCCTCTAAACATAACTTTGATTCTTATTCTACTACTATGCCATGGGGAAGATATCAACAATACCTCATGTAAACACCAGGTGGGGCCATAGTGATGCCAAATCGTATGGCAGCAGCCTCAAACTCAGGAGAAATCCCTGGGTCGACAAACTTCTGGTAACCTGTATGCAGATAAATAAAAAATATTTTTTCAAAACAATCAAGACAGAGAACAAAATCAACGAGACATGGAATTAAAATCTGTCCTCAAACACCTTTAACGTCACACAAACAGTGAAACTGAGTTAACAAAAGCATCTGTTTAGTGAGAAAGAAAAGTGATGAAGGTGATGTTGCTCATCTGTTTCAGAGGTTTTTTAACTTTCTACAGCTGTGGCTGATTATTCAGCAAAGTAGACAGACTCAGAGTTGATGCTTTGCTGACGGAGCGCATTTGTCGAAGGCTGACAACGATAGCTCACCTCACCACGGCTTGTGGTCACCAGTGCATTACCTGTTCTCCTCGAGTTGTGCGCACACGCACTCTGAGTGATTCTTACCTGGATAAGGAGGAAGCTTTTTGTCACCAAGATATCCAGGCAGCCATTCGTAGAGAGCAATATTCTGAGAAGACAAAAAGTTATGGCAGCTTGATTGCATGCGCACTACAGTTACACACAACTGTAAGAAAATCTGAAGCTAATTTATGCTGTAGGCAGATTTCTTGTCTTTTCTTTGTACATAAAACTATTATATGATTCCATCTTACTATTTCAAATTTGACATGACAAAAATTAGGAATTTGTGAGGAGTAGTTCGTTTATGATCTCTGTAATAAAAGTAAAAACAGCAATTGACGTGTTGGCAGTCAGAACAGGTCTTGTAGAAGACTAAACTAATGAAACAAGTGAAGGATGATGCAAACTCAAATCCGTAAAATATGATAATCTGTGTGCATGTAAGTCCTTCTATCCACTGTGAAATTAAATCAGCACCTGTGCAGTAGGAGGATTATGCAGAGACTTTTCCTTCTACCTGGAATGTGGCCACAACGGTCTTCCTGGCGTTTTGGAACAGCTTTTCGTCTGACCACTCTGGGTGTTCCTCATGCAGTGTGGTGGCAACATAATTGTGGTAGCGAAACCAGATAATCCCCTCTGCTGCCGTGAACAAGTTCTCATTGGCCCAGGAGTTTCCTAACACTGGAGACATAAGATGGCACAAATGACAGGAATTCTGCTCGTCAAACATACAGTATGAACTATCATCACTATGGCTACAGTAAATAGAGAGCAGGTTGTATTTTTTAAGGTTATATTCTTATACAGGTTATGCCCCAAAATCAAACAACTCAATAAATTAATGGATGAGGATTTCTGCCCACTAATGGGATGATAATTTGGTAATTTGTTTACAAGGATGTGATAACAGGAGAAGATCATCCGCCTTAACCTCAGATAAAAACTACACACCCTTAATAACAAAAGCAACAAAACACTGGTTTCAATACACCTGCACAACATCTTATTTTCTGTACAGTGAGGGATTTAGAGCGGTGAGCATGACAAGCCGTAGGGATAATAATGAATGAGTCATAAATCAGTCTGGCCCTCTGTGGACTCAACTCTGACATGGGTAAAATCATGTCTGCAATAACTCTGAATTAAATGACATATAACTATCTGGTGGCAGGCCCTGCACTCCAGGTGAAGAGGAAATCAATTTTCATTGTGAGTTTAAGGGATTTTAATTGAGTCTAGGGAACTTTACCTCACCAATTAGCTCTGAGCTCAGACCTGAAGTATGAAGTCTCACCATAAAGGCCATACGGCTCATTTTCTCCTGTTGATGGGTCAGGAGCGCTCCACATGGAACTGCGCTCTGTTCCCTCTTTTGGCATGTTCGACTCAGAGCCTGAAGTCAAGAGCCCTCCAGAGAAACTTCTCAGGGAGTCAGACCAGGACGTGGAGGGGCCATAGATGGAGCTGCCATCTATCCATGCTGTAACCAAGTTAACCTGCATGCGTATGAAAAGACCACACGTTAGGACAGGGAGATGTAGGGTAACATAGTTAAACGTTGTAAACATTATCAAACAATTTGTTTTTCATAGTGATGATGGTTAACAAATGGCACCTGTGTCCGAGGATTACCAGGGCTCTGGCCGGACTCTTTGTCCCAGAGCGCTCTCTGGAAAGGCAGCAGGACTTTTCCGTTGGCAGAAGGGTCAAAGACGGGGTCACCTTTGGGGACCGGGATGTTCATGAACTCAGGGGGACACCCAGGGGCTCTTGAATCAAATACTTCAAAAGCAACATGATAACCTGAGCAGTAGAAATGAGAAATGACCCACAAATATTTACCTGTATCAAACAAGAAAGTTGAGATAAAAATCTTGACAAGTGAAGATAACATTTGTTTGGATTTTGTAGCACATCATCTTTACAAAGGGGTTGACCACTTACTTCAACTTTTAAAGGTCAATAATTACATTATTGTTTAAAAAAAAAGAAAAACCCTTGTGACAGACACACTTTGATGTCGTTTTCATATCGGTGATGAAAGTATCAACGCACCATACTGGTAACTCTCGTTTTTATTATAGTTTAGCACCTGAGATGAACATAATCTTTTACCAAAGAACAGAGAGAGCACGGTCCGGTTTCGTGTAGACGGCAGACCGGAAGCTCCAGCGGTGAGCACCCTGCTCAGTCTGCGGGGGTTTGGCAGCTGCGGCTCGTGGACAGGTTGGTAGACCCCGTCCCAGTAATGCGCGGGCACGAGGCGCACTAGGTTAGAACCTGCGCGAGCACAAACAGGTGATCAGGTATGTCGGCAGGTCATGCCGCTAAATCACACTTTTATAGCTCGGCTGCTTACCGACTGCCCCGCGTCTCGGATTCCCCAAACTGTTGTACCAGCCGTCGAAGCGAGGAACTTCCCAGTTTATTTCACCGCGTGAATCTGTTTAATACAGGTCGAGCGTAAAACAGCAGTTTCTTCCTGTGAACTTTTTTAAATTGAGGAATATGAAGGACAACTTCAGGCTACTTACATTCACTGACACAGAGCAGAAAGCCAAAAGCTGCACAGATACTCCAAACCTGTTTACGTGAATCCATTGAAGCGAGAGATGCTCCTCGGCTCAGTCTGCAGCCAAGAGCAGTGAAGGACTCCTGAGGAGACTAGGCGAAGGTAACACGTATATTTATTGCATTTCGTTTCGTCTGAGCTGGTTTTGAGTGACTAAAAAGAAAAGCCTAAGGAGTCTAATTCTGCCTGTTTTACTCTTTTGAATGAAAAGTAAAAACTTTAACAAACCTTTGGTGCTCTTCCAGTGTGTTTGTAGAGTGCACACAGCGTAGGAAAGTGTCCGTTTCCTTGTTGCTCTACGTTTTAGAACAGAAGATGAAACAGTTGAGTCTTACCAACTGTACAGGCTGACATGTTGCAAGAGAACACCTGTGCAGGTGAGGGATGGGGCAATACTAAAGCCAGCCTGTGTTGCACGGCGTGTCCCAAAGTGCATGTGACCTGGGTTGCCCAAATGCGAATGGTCATTATCTACAGTGGATCACACCTACTTCTTCCACAGCATTCATTCTAATACATCCTCCTTCCTCAGTGACCTCAAGGGGGGCTGCTGCTGCTGCTGCTGCTATAAAAGAAGTGAGTGTTCCCTCAGCGTTCACTCTTCAGGCAGGTGTTCTTCAGTCTTTGTCTCACAACTGTGTGGGTAAGATCTTTTGGATTTTTAAAAAAACTTCTCTCTATTTCATTGATGGATTTATTGTTATTACTTCCAAATGAATCCAATGCATTTAACTCGTCAGCACATTACCACATTGTTTGGAGGATCCTACTTTGGAGTATATTAATGTAAACCTTTCTGCATGAAGCTTTGCATTTGCATTTTCTTCCCTTCGCATTACAAATACATCAAACCGAGGGACATTTTATGGTATTAAGTATGTAAGAAATTGTTGCGTTTACTGTTCCCATCTCTTATCAGGTGTAAAGAACACGAGCTGCTATCTCTGCATCTGGAGGAAATTGAGAACCCGGCGACTAACACTGTCTTCTCTGTCACACCGTCTAGTCTCAGCTGCGTGCATAAGATCCGGAGCTAAGATGACTTTCTACGTTGACATTTACCCATTCTACCCTCTACAAAGGTCCTCCTTTATCTTCAGCAGCCACTTGCTCACTGTTATCCTGGTCTTCCTCGTGTTAGCACTTAGTCTACTTCTCATACTGCCGGGGATAAGAGGGAAGTCGGTGAGTTCAAACTTTCAAATAAACTATTGCTCACTGCAAGCACATGATTGTAGCCTCCTTGCCTGCTTGTTTAATGGTTATTGAAAAGCGAGATATTATATTACTAATTGCATACATTTGTTTTGTCTTGACATTTTTAACGAGATGTACCTAAATTAAATCTGCTCTTTCTCTTCCTGTCAGAGACTTTTCTGGACGTTTAGAATCATTATCAGCCTTTTCATAGGTGTGGTGATAGTCGGTGAGTTTTGTACTCCAATCATCGTTGCTGATTCAACAATTGGTTTTCCTTTTCCTTCTTCCTGATTAATCATTTATTTCCTTTGTACTGCAGCACTTAACTTCACGTGCAACTGGGCCGAGGCCAAAATGACCACTAATGCCACTTATAAGTCTTTCAGCAATGCTGTGGTTAACGCCGAGATTGGCTTACATGTTGGACTGTACGGCATTAATGTCACACTGAAGGGTGAGTCACAGTTGCAGCTGCTCTTGTGCCATGCACTCTTACACTGATGCTTGAATGTTTCAACAACTTAGATGTTGATTAGGATGTTTGCTCAAGAGTCTGAAACCATTTTCATGCGTCTTTTTTCTGCATTGATTTGCTTTTCTTTCTTTTTTTTCTCTCAGGGAATCCTATTGTACAGTTGAATGAGACTATTGACTACAATGAGATGTTCAGGTGGCATGACACTATCGAGAAGATTATGAGGAAGCTCTGGAGAAAGGTCTCCCCAGCCCCATCCTGTACATTGCTGAGAAATTCACTCTGGGCAGCCCGTGTAGACTCATCTTACAGTACAGATTTTCAGGAAGATACGCCTCTGCAACCCTCTGGTAACAAAACAAACCTGCAGTTTATAAACACATTTCTATAAAAGGCTGTTTGTGAAGATTGAAAAAAAACAACGCTCAAAAAGGATGCACACTTTTACAGGACTGCGTTTTGCAGCTGGTTGCTCGCCAATATTCTATTCTCCATGCCGGTCATTCTGTACGCCGGATACATGATGATGGCTACCGCTGCCTTCATTTTCTTCTCGATGGCCTCATTCTCCAACATCAGTTCCGTGCCCCAGTGTGTTTTCTCCATAGGAACCGACTCCTTTAAAACCGAATATAGCCATTCATTCTGGCTGGCCCTGGCTACAGGTAAAGAGAAAAAGCTGCTTTTTAACTTCATGTTTTATTTCAACCTGGCGCACAAAGCTTGCTGAACGACGGCGATCTGTAGTGACGGAAACATTGTTTTCAGGTTTGCTGTGCACCATCATCGGGATTCTCGTGGTGATACTTAACTTTGTGATGCCGGAGAAGATGAAAGAGGCTTTCAGTGTGGGCGTCGACAGTTATGAAGATGAAGATGTTTCGTATGGGGAGGGGTACCTGAACGCAGCGTTCCTCGATAGAGTGACAAGCTCAACACTGACAGCAAAGACAAAGGTAAGTCGGTGAAACTGAGGGGTCGATGCATTAGCATTCACTAGCAGTGACTTTTTCATTTTTCTTTCCTAAAACCTAAATTTGTGATACATTTATTGTTTTAAAATACATTGAATGTTCTACTTTTTAACATGTGAAAAATGGTAATGGGTACAATGCAGTATTAATAATGGATGCATAAGTAAAGTTAAATGAATCACTCCTATGTTGTCCTGCTGCACCACACAATCTCTTCATATACCTGAATAAATGAAAATCTATTGTAAAGAAAGTTATTTCCATCTCTGTGGCACAGTGACTGATTATTTTGTTTCTGTGTTTCAGGACAATTTATGAAGCCATTCAGTTTTCTCAGGGGAAGTTTTCCCGCCATTACTTGAAGATTTTTTTTTTTTATCCTGAATGTTCACGGATGGAGTGTCTTAATTTCACACCACTTTTAAATATGCATGTGACCTTGTAAATGTTTTGTGTTGTAAATTATTTAAGGTAAATAGTATTTTTAAAGTTCACTGTCACAAGCAGTAGTTGTAATTACAATATATCAACTTGTATGGGATCCATACTTTTCGTATATACACTGGATTAAATCTCACTGTTCAACTCGTCTTTGATTCACCTCAAATCCAAACATACAGACTTTACATGTCGGGGGTTGGTTGCTACTATTTTTTGCTGTAACTCCTGAAATTAAAAAAAAAACAGATGACAATGATTCAGCTGTGAGATTGTATTGTTACTGTGGTATAACATTACATTCATTCAGTAATGTATATTTTGATACATTCTTGTACTGTACGTCCCAGTAAAGGTAGTGATCCCCCATACTGCATGTCTTTGAAAAGTAGGTGTGTCTTTGGCCTTCAGCATCACCATAATACACATAATTTAGTGCTTTGTAAAGCACATTATTAGCTTCTTTTAATACTTACAGTAATAGATTATCATGTCAGATTGATGATTCATCCCTGGTCAGTAATTCTTCAGAATAACATGCATATACTTTAGGAGTAATATGGCCTTTCCAACCAAGTCCTTGAGTAATCCAAAGTATTTACAGTAGATACATTTTTAAGCCCATACACATTATAAAATGACTAAATAAAAAATAAATGTACTAATTTATCTCTTCATAAGAAAATAATCATGACCTTAAAGCTACTTTTCTTCAACAGCAGACACTCAAGTACAGTACTACAGACGGAGTATTCACATTGTAAGGCCATTATGACAATGTAATTCAAGATCAAACCTGAAAATGAGAACTGGGTGTTCTTTACAGCACTGCAACAAGAGGCCCAAAAAATAAAATGATAGAAAAATAAATTCTCCTGGTTCCCACTGGAGCCACCTGTCTCATCATCTGTCCATTGCCTCCACACAGCCAGACATGCAGGACTACAGTGGGCTGATCCATGCAGGGTCTCTAGATGTAGATAGGCGTCTCCTGTCCTGTCAGCAGTCTGAACATCACAGCAGGCATCGTCTTCATGTTGATCTGGGGGCGCAGAGATGAGAGAGCAGAGGGGATCATTATACTGTCAGCTGAGGAGAACTTGATCTCGTGACATTAATCCTGGCTTAATATACACCCTTATGTGCAAACCTGACAGGCAGAAGAGACCATGTATGAAATACTGTCAAATAAGAAGCTTTTTTTTTTGGAGATCCATCCTCAGAAACTGAGATAACTCACAAATACAAACGCAGAGTATGTTTACTGCAGCTGAAATGGGTGAGAAGAAGCAGAGCAAGAAAAATGCAGTATCTTATATAACACATTGCGTTCTTTATTTGGGGGTTATGTGATTCACACTTTTTTTAGGGCCAGAGTAACTTCTTTAATTGTCAGTTTCCATGCGGTTATAAAGCGACAAAGTCCTTTCTCCTTGCAAACAAATTGTCCACTATAAACACTCTTTCAGTTTAATGACTACAAAAATCAACTTAACATGTTTTTTAATTCATAATCTTCAGTGGTGCTGATATTCAGATTTCATTAACTTAGTTCAGAGCCAGGCAAGCTGTTTTTATTCTTATGCTATGCTAACCAGCTGCTTCTAGTAGATGCATATTTAACAGACAAAACAGGAGAGTGGTACTGACCTTCTCACCTAACGCTCAGCAAGGAAGCGAATAAGCCTATTGCTCACGTGTCAAACCTTTCTTTAAAAAACGCTTGTTTTATTTTGGTGCAGATTAGAGTGATCAGTGTTGGTCATTTAAAAAAAACTAGAATGATTTTGAAAGTAGCATTCCCTCAGTGCTCCGTCTGCACTTACCCCCTCCCCTCTGTGCTCCCTCTAAAGCCACGCCTTTCACTTACATGCACAAGCGCCAATGTTCCAGAAGCGGACCTCAGCTCATGCTTTGAGTGTGGGCTCGTGCATGCATGGGGTAGAGAACGAGCAGTGAGACAGAGAGGCATGATTGGTTCATCAGATTGGCACCTCGTGGCAGACATTGGTCGAAGTTTTTACAGGCTTACAACTGCTACAGATGACTGATTTTCTTCGTTCCTTTTTCAGAGGACATGAATTATTAATGTCTGTCAGGACCGAAAGACAATTTCAACCAACATCTTAAAAAGTGTATCTGGAGAAATGACTGTGCCCTTTTTTACCAAAGTCCTTCATTGATTTATGAATAAATTGATTCATGTTTTAGTACTTTTCTGTTTCTGGAAACAATCTCAAACTGATGCAGTATATCTTTGAAAGGCATGTATGGTATAGTGATCTGTGTGGTGCAGTAATCAGTGAAAATTGCCATCTTGTGACCACAGGACTTCTTACCTCACCCACTGAGACAGACAGGGTTTGAACAATCTTCTCATGTGCCATGGCAACAACACTCTGACCATTTATTTCAATGATTCTGTGTCCAACACGAACACCGCCTCGCTCAGCGATGCCCCCTCGCATCAGACTGCAGATCTAAGGATGAGAGAAGAGACCTTGTTTGAAGCAGCATAGGATGTACTGTAGAGGAGCTCTCAGTAGTTAAAACAACAGTGCTCTCAGAAGTCACCAACCATTCATTTTGAGCCTCAACCTAAAGTTTGATGTCATGCTTTATGTGCTTACTCACAATGCCATTCTGAACACTGAAGCCAAGTTGGAACTTGAGGTCAGGTCTCTTGATGAGGACGGTCGTTACAGGAGGGCAGCTCACAATACTCAGCTTTACCTTCACCTGATTCTTCAGACCCTGGAAGTCGTAAAAAAACAAGGCAATAAACATGTTGAAATGACAGTACAGAGAACAGTAAATCTAGTGATATTTTCTAAGAAAAGACCAAAACCAAACTGTAATTTATCCTGCTAAAAGGTGGTTCTTTTTACTAAGTAGTGATAAAGGTTTGTTTTTTCAAAAAGCTCCACTGTTAGACCAAACACACCTTAATGATGCCCTGACAGGTGGCGAGTGGCAGTCCCACCAGGCTGGTGTCATTGATGGACATAATCTGGTCCCCAACACTGAGTTTCCCAGAGCGAGCTGCAGGGCCGCTGTTTAGCATACTGGCCAGGATCACTGTGGGCAGAATGGAGCCCCAACCGGACTCCACGATCACCACGCCAAGAATCTCTCCTTTCTGCTTCTCCACATACAGCTGGAACGCAGAAAAAAAAAAAGCACATTTAAGTTTCTGGTGCAGCCATTTATGTTTCATGAAATCCATCAATCATTATCCACAGTTCACCTGCTGAAGAATACAATTTGTCGCACCTCTTTACAGTTGTCTGAGTTTGAGAAATGGACCAGGTCATCGTGGTACATCTCCTGGGAGTTGATGATGTCACTGTATTGTTTCTGGCTCAGGTCGGTCGGGTTGATGCCATTGGCACGCAGGAACTCTCTGTAGGCCACGCTAAAAGCCTGACCGATGGACTGTGCGATGAGCTGCGCCTGTGGGAAGGGGAGAAATTGAGGGAAACAACTCAGCAAGAAAGGCTTTCCCAGCCGACAGCAGCAATGAGGCGAGAGGAAATTTGGATGGTTTTAATGTACAAACTGTTTAACTGTCACTTACATCCTCAGACTCAAAGACGTAGCAGATCATCCTGTACTGATTATTCCCTTCACTGGAAGAGTCGGCAGATTCTGAGAAATCCTCTGATGACGCCTGAGACATGCGCCTACGTGCCATCAGAACCACAATACTGCCAATGTCAGCGATGTAGGAGATGGTCCGCAGGGCGCTGTCCATCATTGTCTCCTAAGTGGAGACGAAAAAATGTAAGTCCGAACTCAATATGCCTGAAATAGATTCACAAACACGTTTAACACAGAGATGAGGCTAAATTAAAAGAAAGCTCTAACCTGTGTATCCGCATTCAGCACTTTGACAGCTTTCGTCGAGATAAACAGGTCCACCTCTGTCATCATCTGAGAGTCCTCATCTTGACTCTTTCAAATAAACAAAAATATATAGTTTTATCAGACATTTCATATTCCCATACTTTAATCACACAATGCAAAATGTCACCTCATTATAAAAACACTGACATGGGCTGGAGAACTAGTTAGGTATACAACAGCTCCACCATGTGGTCAGAAATGATTCTGCTGCTTATACTTAACCCTGCATAAACTCTGGCAAAACAGATACACAGGCCTACTTAAAAATCCAATCAGTTTGTTGAAATCCAAAGCTAAGGGCACTAAGGGCAGTCTTATGGGAGCACAAGACTGCTGATAAAGTAGCTTCTGTTAAACACAGAGACATCGATTTTCATCCTTAAACCTGCAAATCCACCCTTAAGATTAGATTCAAGTCTTTGTCTCAGTTAATTTGATGGCTGAAAATTAAAATGAAACCAGTCTAATGGCAAAAATCCCAGATCACGATCAAATTTGAATATACATTTCTCCTGGACACTGGGCCAATCTGTTTGCCAAATCTATTTGAAAGCGGTTTATAAGTGAACAGTAACCTCTTTGTCTTGATTTGCAGTTTGTTTTTTTTAAATGTAGATTACCTTGATATGACTGACAGCTTCGTGGGCCTGGGACATGCGGACAGACTTCGATGGGTTTTTATCTGACAACACCTGAGTGCAGCCAAGGTAGTTCGCAGCAAAGATGATCCCATCAATAAGATCCTCTGGCTCACAGGGACCTGGCACTGAACGGGGATGAAAATGTTATTGTCCTGCAATAAAGAAGGAAAACTATGCATTGTAAGAAACTGTAAGAATAATTACCATCCTCAAAGCTGGGGAAAGCAGCCGCCTCCTGGGTCTTCTTAAAATAAGTTTGAATGTTGGTTAGTTAGACTTAAAGCTTTACCTGAGATGCTATTTCAACTATATTGTCAAAGTTGATATGTTCTA